GCTACAGGGCTGCACCGCCACTCCTAGCTCTTTCTCATATGAGGTCTTGCTATGTTTCCCAGGCACGACTCGAGCTCCTGAGCCTCAGCCTCCCCAGGTTGCTGGGATTACAAGTGCATACCACAGCACCCAGCCTTTAGGTTGAACCAAAAATGAAACGTGGGCCTTCCATGTGGTCCAAGCCTACAGAGCACAGCATCTTAGCAACACACACCACTGTAGCTGGGCCTGTTTATGTTATTTAACAGACACCATGTGCCAGCTACTGCTCTACATACCTTACACACATTCAAGTCATTTGATCACTTAATAGTTGTAACAACTTTACTAGGTAAGAACTACTATTATCTGGTCTCTAGATGAGAAAATCAATACAGAGAAAGGTAAATAATTTGCCCAAGGTCATACAAACAGTAAGAATAATGTCTCTTAAAACTCAGTACTTGGGGTCGGCTCATGGTATAGCGGTGAAGGCAGCTGGATCACACACTATGGGCTGGCCCCGAGTCCTGAGTTTTAAGAAAGGTTATTTCTGACTATTTGTATAACTACTTGTATGAGCTCACCAACTGCATATACCATTAGGTATTCTGCCTCCTTATTAGGAAGCTGGTCCTTCAAAATGAGAGGACTAAAGAATGATGAATTTTGTCTGGCCGTTTTCCTTTTTTCTGCTCTTTAATAAAACAGGCCATTAACAAGCATTCATTAAACTTAACAAGACACATCCTATTTCAATAATTTAATGGGAGGGTAGTTTTTTGTTTTTAAGAGAATTCCTTAATAAATGTCCCTCAAAAGAAGCAGTGTATGATACTAATTAATAACTGGTTTCTAGCAGAATATGACAGAGTATATTAAAGCATTACTATTGGTGGTGGTAATGATATTACTATTATAAAGAGAGCAGAAAAAGAATCATTTTTTCTACACAATTTCAAGTCCAGGGTGAAGTCACTTATGGGAAAGCTCAAACAGGGTTACTCTGAAATATGAAGAGAAGGGCTTAAGGGTGGATCTTAAAGGTCTGACACAGAGATGATCTTAGATGAGAAGAATGGTTTTAATATAAATGACCAAGAATGTTCTATTTCCATATCCACCTGCAAGTGTGGCATGATATCATCTGATAATACACACATTTTCAAGTCACGATTTTAAACATTGTGTGTAAAAATCAACGCACAAATCAAGGGGCTAGCTGGTGACGCAGTGGTTAAGGCTGCTGGATCCTACATGCATGACTGTGCAGTTTGAGTCCCGGACCCATCAGCTTGAAAAATACACCAGATGCAGGTGCATGTGTACCCAAAGTCCTGAAGGGAGGGAAAAATGCAGAAGGGATTGCAGCATGGCTATTCCCATAGGGGGTGCTTTCTCACTCCTCCCCCACCCCATCGGGTGTTTTTTTTTTTTTTTGGAGAGATTTTCACTGTAGGGTGCGTGCGCTCACCAGAGAGAGACATAGAGACAGAAAGCGAGAAATCACCCCCCAGGGGGGATGGTCATGCCGCAATCCCTTCTCCTCCATTCTCCTCTCGGGATCTTGGGCACACACGCACACGCGCCCGGCGTGAGTTTTAAGCCACCGGGTCCAGGACACGAACCGCGGTTGACTACGTGGGAGTCCACCGACATAGCCATTACGCTAACTGCTGGTTCCCTAGGGGGTGTTTTCTCACTCCTCCCCCACCCCATCTCTCCAGCAAGCATGCTTACTCTCTAGAAAAACTTATAAGAAAAAATAAGAAAAAAAAAATACAAATCAGTACATTGGAATCACAGGTAAACTGGAACTACCAGCAGTTGTTATTGTAATGACATCTTTTATACAGGTAAAATCATTCATATTTGTTACTTTATTATTTACATAATTTTAGAGAATTACAGTATTACTTTATTATTTTAGTAGTAATTTTTACATGTTAAAATTTAAGTTAAAAGTAATTAATATTTTTAAATTTAGTTATTTCCAGTGAATACATTAGTGTTCAAATCACTGATATATTGATGTTTTATCTATTCACTTTTATAGTTATTACAACTACTTGATGTACACTACCAACATTTAAACTGCCAACTATTTATTTGAATTTGAGTCCAGACAGTGAAACTGATTTTTAATAATATTAATACAATTAGGATTCTTAAAACTCACTGCAAATAGCACACTACATAATACAGTATTTAAGAGGATTTGTGTTTATGAAAGTACTTTTTGTTTGAATCAGAGAAAGACTGAGGATTTTTGATAGAGTGATTTGTGAAACATAGGATATGGAATAAGAAGAAGCATTTAACTCTATGGCTTTTCACAACATAGAAGCCTTTGATTCTATGAAAAGAATATACTTAAATTATTAGAAATCATCTCTGCTACAGAAAAGAGGATGAAAAGTACACACATTTTTAAGGCGAGTCCTAGGCCTACGAATTCTACTTCAAAAATGTATTAAAATGTATTATAACATCATGTGAGCTACAAATGAAATTTGCTTTTGAAGGTGTTCCCCTTTCACATGCATGAAGTACAAAATAATTCCACAGAGGTGAATTGAACATCTGTGATCACCTTGTTGATAAAGCTCCTGTTTTAAAAATATTCTACAAATATTTAAGACTACATAGTAATTTAATGAACACTCCCTTAACCCATCCCTTTTCTTCTCCATGTAGTTTTCAATTTTTCTGTAAAGGTAGATCTCTGTAACTAGACAAATGCAGAGAAATGAACAAATAAGAGACCAGTGGATGGTGTCATGCTTACGTGGCTGGACTCCCACATAGTTGACCACGGTTCGAGTCCCAGACCCGGTGGCTTAAAACACACCAGACGTGTGTGTGTGCACCCAAAATCCCAAGAGGAATATGGAGAAGAAGGGATTGCCACATGGCCAACCCCACTGAGGGGGAGATTTCTCACTTTCTGTCTCTCTGTCTCTCACTATCGCTCTGCCAAGCACAGGCACCCTATAGAAAAATCTCTTTAAAAAATTAACAAATAAAAGTCACTTGTAAATTGTGCTCAGTGTTTCTATCTCTGCTAAAATTCTTTGAGGTTGGTAGGAAGGTATTAGGACTCGCCACCTTTTACAGATGAAGAAACCAACAGACGGGACTTTACCACTATTGTATACTTGTTCATTCAGCAAGTGGATTAGAATGTTTTGGGAAGCCTACCCCAAGAAGTGGAAGAGACTTAGATGCCACAGATAAATTGGACTTATCACTCAATTTTGTATTTTTTAATTCTGTAGAAATTCACTATTTTTTTTTTCTTTTCTTTTTTTTTCTGTTTTCAAAAAGATACTCTAATGGGGCCAGCAGGGGGTGTGGTGGTTAAGGTGCCGGACTACCAGGCGGCCAACTACAGTTTGAGTTCCTGACACAGCGGCTTGAAAATCACGCTGAGTGCATGTGAGTGTGAGCCCAGAATACTGAGAGGAGGCTGAAGTAGAAATTCACTATTTTTTTTTTCTTTTCTTTTTTTTTCTGTTTTCAAAAAGATACTCTAATGGGGCCAGCAGGGGGTGTGGTGGTTAAGGTGCCGGACTACCAGGCGGCCAACTACAGTTTGAGTTCCTGACACAGCGGCTTGAAAATCACGCTGAGTGCATGTGAGTGTGAGCCCAGAATACTGAGAGGAGGCTGAAAGAAGGGTTAATCACGCTGAGTGCATGTGAGTGTGAGCCCATAATACTGAGAGGAGACTGAAAGAGAAGGGTTTACAGCATGGCCATCCTCTCGAGGGGTGAGTTTTAGTTTCCTTCTCTCTGTCTGTCTCTGGTGAGCACATGCACCCTATGGCAAAAACCTTAAAAAAAAAAAAAAAGACACTGTAACAGTGATTTTAAAGAAAAACTTCAGTATCTTCAATAGAACAGATATTCTCAAACAATATCGGTGAAAAATGCGACCTTAAGATATAATTTATCAATATGTAAAGATACAGTTTTAAATCACAATTTTTAGCAATTCAAACTGTAGAAGTGTTGCCTAAAGAAATAACTAGAGGTATTTAAACACATTCCAAAAATTTAACCTCAGACCCATGAATGAGAAGATAACCAAAATACTAGCCATAATCAAAGCTCTTAAATTCAGCAGTGTGTGGTCAGCCAGGCCACACACTTTCTTCTCTTTAGAGAAATAACTTCTTCTCTAAGTAACCTTCTTATACTTAAAAATCATTTCTATAGTTTTTACTGTGTTTGTTTCAAGGACATCAATTTTTTTCTCCATTCCTACAAATCAAATTCAGTCTAAGACTGAATCACATACCTTTATTACATGATGCTTTTCCGGGAACACAGGAATCTTAAACATTTGGCACCAATATGTTGTACCCTTGTTTGGGATGGGTACCTGTCTTAATAAAAGGGGAGATGGATATGAAGTCACATTTTCTTGACATGCTGTCAAATACAATAAAGGAAGCAAAAGCTCTCTCATAGATTTGAAATAGATGCATCCCTAAATTTATAAAACCTAAGAAAAAAAAAATCCAACAACTTACGTTTTGATTTACCAGGTCAAAGTATGGTAAGGCTGTAGACAGCACGTTGGTTTTCTCAGGGTTCAGTAACCGCAGACTCTTGGTGCCCCGATTAGAGCCATGGTACTTGGGACCGTCTTCTCCAGCATCCTCATGGTGATAGGCCCAGATCACTCGCACAGTGCTTTCCTGGTAATTGGACATGGGCTCAGTTATGTCTCAGGATAGCCCTTTCCTTACCACTGAGTTAAGTTTAAAAAAATCTACTTAAGGCAAAATAGATACAGAAGGAAAGAGAATAATGACATTGGAAAATCCACTCTAACATTATGTAAATTTGATTAGGCCATTAAGGATCCAAATTAGACCAAGTTACTTTTTGGAGGGAATAGTCTCTCTCATGCAAGATTCTGTGCTCAAAAAAGAATGAAGAACAGGTGACTTAGTCATTATGCAGGAATCATTGTCCTGTCAAAATCTGGACTAGTAACTACTAGTTACCAAGCAAATATTTTTGTTAAGCAGCAGAGACTTTGGAAAATTAAAACTGCTTGAGTATAATGGAATGTTTTAGAGAAAATATTTATTTAAATGGAATGAAAAATTAAAACTACCTTAGGATTTTTTTTTCTTTCACAATAGTTACTTTTTTCTAGTCACTAACCCAATCACACAATGAAAAATTAAAACTACCTTAGGATTTTTTTCTTTCACAATAGGTTTTTTTTTTTCTAGTCACTAACCCAATCACACGTATGAATTTACAGAAAGTGAAAATGCAGAAGGAATCTTGAGTTTGTTTATGGTAATAGAGCCAATCTATGGTTGCTTTATGAGTCCTGGGAATTTCCTAAGGGAAGTGCTGTCAGCTGAGATCGGTTTCCACTGAGCAACCAAGAGAGCTAGCCCACAGCGTTCTGGCCAAGGAAGGTGTGCTGGGGTGTAAAGACACTGCTCAGTCCTCCCATGGATTAAGGGGGTTTTCTGGCCAGAGTTTTGTAATAAAAACTTTGAAAATAAACAAGGAAGCAAAGACTACTTTAAATGTTCTCTTTGCTATATTCCCTCTTAGTAAGTTAAGTGACCATAATTATTATTCTAGTTAAAGTATAATTGCACCTATATATTACATAAAAAGTGACCCACGTCGTTGCATGTTTTCTCTTCCTTTTCCACTCTTTGTGCTGAATGTTCACCAGAACTGCTTTAAATTTTGCACATTCTCATTTGCAACGCTTTTATTTATTAAATATAAAGAATCATTTTATTGGCCCATTCAAAATGAAATTCATCTAAGCAATTCATGGACATTTCCAAAGTACCACAAAAATTCTATATCTTCTAAATACATAATTTACATATATGCATAAAGATATTAATTGTTGCATGAAGTAGGAGAATAAGAAAGCTCATATAACAGGCAAATAGGCAGTTTTAAGCAGCCAGCTATTCATCTTGATTTTAGAAATTTAAAAAGATTTCAGTTACAAGTCACATTAATTATATACTAATATTCAGTATCATAGTTCTCTCTTGCTTATCTAATTTTTGAACCTTTATCTCTCATCTATTTTCAAACTTTTAGAGGTGTAGTTAAAATGCATTTATACGAGGTCAGCAGGTGGTATGGTGGTTAGGGGCGCTAGACTCCCACATGGCTGACTATGGTTGAAGTCCTGGACCTGGCAGCTTACTTTCTCACTTTCTCTCTCTCTTTCTCTCTCTCTCTCTCTTCCTCTCTCTCCGAATCTTGCTCTGGTCAAATTTAAAAAGTAAAAATAATTATAAAGAAAATAATTCTTTAAAAATGCATTTAAGGTAAAAATTATAAAAACTTCAAATAATTATAAAGAAAATAATTCTTTAAAAAAATGCATTTAAGGTAAAAATTATACAAACTTTAAAAAGCTCTTCACATTCTTAAATTCACATAAATAGATCTCTTTTTATTTCTAAAGAGATGTCAGAAATATTCCAAAAAAGATAATGTGACTTTATTGACCAAGATTATTTTAAGATTATGATTCGTTCGTTTTATAAGGAGATTCCCAAGTGTAGGTATGCAGCTAGTTCACAGCGTGTTCACCCATAGACTCCTTACCGTTATACTCTTGTCATTTATGTCACATGTATGCAGTTCCCTGGTAAATTCAATGATTGTGTGTGTACTATTTTCCATGGCATATTCCAGGTGGTAATCTTGCTGAGCATCCTTTTTCAACTCTTTATTTGCATTTGTAAAATAATCCTGTAGAAAATAAGGAAGAGAAAAATCAAGATATCCTAAGCACAGAGTGAAAAGAAGTTAAGAGATTTTATATGACCTTAAAAAGCTAATTATGGATTTTCTTTCAACAAAATTCTATATCTAGAGTCTCTTTATGAACCTGGGATTTTCCAAGGGGTTGACTTATTCCAACTAGAGACCCCTGGAAACTGGTCCATATTTGAATTTCTAGTCCTTTAGGAAAAGGCAGTGTAGATTGATAACATCAGAGAGTATCAGCAAAGATGGAAGGAATGAACATTTGAGACCACTGAGTACTTTTCCTTCAGTGTACAAATAAAAAGAGAGACATTAGCTAGTGAACTGTCTAGCCCCAAAGTGATGACTACTTAGAAGGAAAGGCAGAACTAGCCCCTAGGCCAGCACCCTTCCCTCTATTACTCCTCATACAGCATCACTTCACCATTCATAAAAGCAAAGGTTGTTGCCGCATGAGCTTTACTGGCATATGATTATTAAAATGAAGTGCAGGGACCAGCAGATGGCATAGTGATTAATACGCTGGACTCCCATATGACTGAGTATGGTTTGAGTCCCAGACCTGGTGGTTTGCTTACTCTTTCTCTCTTTATGTATCCGGTCAAATTAAAATAATAACAATAAATAAATAAAAGTAAATAAATAATTTGGTTAAAATAACGTGCAATGGAAAATACAGAAAGAATTAAACTACTTGAAGTGGAAGATACTGAAAAAAAAACAGAAAAATTATTTTTTTAATAGAAGCTATAATTGTTGCACTAAACTTCAGTGGTGACTTTTTTTTTAAGGTGAGGGGGCAGACAAATACAATGGAGAAAGCATGGACTTTGAAATCAAGTGACTAGGATCTGATCCCCAGTTTTACCCCTAAACAGTCTTGAAGAATTGTTGATGTCAAACTCTGTAAGCTTCAGTTTTGGTGTTCGTAAAATGGTCATAATATTTACCTATTTCACAGAGTTGGAAAGAAAAATAAGTGAAATAGTCTAGGAGATAGAAGTAAGGAGGTACTGCCATTTTTAATAACACAAGATTTTCAACATGTAAATAAAATAACAATGCCTAAGGACAAAAAGGGCTTTAGATAAACAAACTGCCTTTGCGCTGAACTGGTATGTCATTACATGATTCAAGTAGTCAGTTTTTGTAAACTGTAAGAATACAGTATAAACTGTAATCAGTTCAAGAAGTAGAATAATTATCCTAAGTCTTGCAAATATGTTTCTAAAACCATTAGTTCCACAAAATAGCCAGCCGGCCTGCCAAAGTTTCACTCATCCTATTTCCATGCAACAAAACAAATTCCTTCTAGCCATTCCCTCTTTTTTCTATCTTTTCAGATAATTTAACTATGAAAACTTGGGAGACACTTTCACTCAGATCATATGGAAAATTCCTTGAGCTAATCTGCCCTGTTAAGACCACTGAATGCATAATATTTACAAAATATGGCTGCCAATTATTTCAAAGTTCTGCATTCCTGGAAAAGTTAAATGTGATTGTCTGAAAGAAGCTGATAGCGACAGTCTTAGTGAGGGAAATTTAGGAACCAGGAAAGGATATCTGCACTCTTTATTGGTGGAAAGTCGTACCGTTGATTGCCCACTTCTGACAGTTTACCTCTGTTATTCCCTGCCCGTTTCCTCCTCTGATTCTCTAAGGACTGCAAAGTTCTGTCCTTAACAGTACTCTCTTCTGTCATCGTACGTCAACCTCTGGGAATCTCATCTTCTCCAACTGTTCAGAGCCATCACCTTATTAAAGCATCACATATTCAAAATTCTTTTTCACATGTAAGTCATATTATTTCAAATTCAATAAATATATATTCACTTTTCACCTGTAGGACTAGTTTTCCTGATTGTTAAAAATAATAATGCCACTCTTCCAGCCATCCAATCAAAACTCTGATCTTCTTTAACTGCTTTCCTATGACTCACACCTGTATAGATAGCTCTGCTCCTATCAAATCTCCCTTTGAAAAAATAACCCACCTTTTTATTTCTATTTCATTTCAACTTCTTATCTTGGATCAGATTCTATCATGACTAGTTTTCCTGATTGTTAAAAATAATAATGCCACTCTTCCAGCCATCCAATCAAAACTCTGATCTTCTTTAACTGCTTTCCTATGACTCACACCTGTATAGATAGCTCTGCTCCTATCAAATCTCCCTTTGAAAAAATAACCCACCTTTTTATTTCTATTTCATTTCAACTTCTTATCTTGGATCAGATTCTATTATTTATTGGGTTGCTGGAAAAGTCATGACGTATTTTTCTGGTTTTTTTTTTTTTTAATGTAAAAATGCATCATGACTTTTCCAAGAATCCCATACGTCTGTCACAGTCTTCCTTAAAAATCATTCTCGGTGCCAACAAGCAGTGTAGTGGTTAAAGGTGCTGGACTCCCACATGGCCAGCATAGTTCAAGTCCTGGACCTGGCAGCTAGCTCTCTGGCAGTTTGCTCTCTGTCTCTCTCTCTCTCTCTGTTTCTCTCTGGTCAAAATTGAAAAATAATGATAATAAATAAATAATTCTTTAAAAAAAAATCCTTCTTGACACAGACGTGGAGGACTGCATGTTGATGATACTGTGAATATCTTTAACTGAATTGGTGTACAGTGTGTTCATGCTAGAAAAATTCATTTTACAATCTGTGTTGATGTACATTGATTAAATGTATAAAATAACTTTTTAAAAGGAAAAATTAAAGTTATTTTGTTCAAATCTGGATAAAAAATTTTTCTCAAAATGTCAATGCATGGGGTCAGCAGGTGGTATGGTGGATAAGGGAGCTGGATTCCCACATGGCCAACCATGGATCAAGTCCTGGACCTGGTGGCTTGCTTTCTCACTTTCCCTCTCTCTCTCTCTCCTCTCTCTCTCTCATCATACAAAGAAAAACAATAACAAGTGGAAATAAATAAATAAATAATTCTTTTAAAAAAAATGTCAATGATGGGAACCAGCAGTTAGCGTAATGGCTATGTCGCTGGAATCCCAAGTAGTCAACCGCAGTTCGTGTCCTGGACCCGGTGGCTTAAAACTCATGCCGGGCGCGTGTGCGTGCGTGCCCAAGATCCCGAGAGAAGAATGGAGGAGAAGGGATTGCGGTGTGACCATCCCCCCAGGGAGTGATTTCTCTCACTTTCTGTCTCTATGACTCTCTCAGTCTGGCTGGCGAGTGCACATGCCCTGTAGCGAAAACCTCTCAAAAAAAAAAAAAAGTCAATGCATTTTATTCAACAATATATAGCAAAAACAAGCAAACAAACAAAAGACTATATAGCACAAAGTCCAACCATTTAGATTTCAGTTTCCCTAAAATTTAGCCCAACATGGTTTTCAAGATTCCCTAATATTATTATTATAATTATTATTATTTGGAGAGCTTTTTGCTAAAGGGAGCTTGTGCTCGCCAGAAAGACAGAGAGATAGAAAGTGAGAAACCACCTCCCAAGGGGGATGGCCACGCCGCAATCCCTTCTCCATTCTCCTCTCAGGATCTTGGGCATGCACGCACACACACCCAGTGTGAGTTTAAGCAACCCGGTCTTACACTCGAACAGCAGTCGATTAGAGTTCACAGACATAGCCATAACGCCATCTGCTGGTCCCTATGTTGTTATTTTTCTTTTTAAAGAATTACTTTATTTAAATTTATTTATTTTAATTTGACCAGAGGGACAGAGTGAGAGAGAGAGAGAAAGTGAGAAGGCAGCAAGCTGCCAGGTCCAGGATTTGAACCACAGTTGGCCATGTGGGAGTCCAGCGCCCTTAACCGCCATGCCACTTGCTGGCCCCAGTCTATGTTGTTATTTTTTTAAAGAGGTTTTTGCCGTAGAGCATGTGCACTCCTTGGAGAGAGAGAGAAATAGAGACAATGAGAGGCAAAATGAGAAATAACCCCCCCCCCAGGAGGGCAGATGGCCATGGCATAATCCCTTCTCTTCCATTCTCTTCCCAGGATCTTGGACAAGCATGAACACATAGCTGGTATGAGTTTCAAGCTACTGGATCCAGGACTCGAACCACAGTCAGACATGTGGGAGTCCAGCGACAGTTGCTGGCCCCTAGATTCTCTATTATTAATTTTACCACATGACTTCTATTACTCATGCTCCTTTCAAAAACTCAATCTTTTCTAGCACTTTGCTTTGTTCACATACTTCCTCTCTGTCCCCATACTTTCTTCATTCAACTGAGAGGTCCTGTCCACTAACTTCCCATGTTGAACCTCTTCCTTCCCTTCCAGGCTCATGATTCCATTTACTCTATAAAGTTTTCTTGGATCATTCCAATTGGAAATGATGATACATCTCTAAATCCTCGTTCCTCTATTTACAGTTCCATGTATCATGTAATATACAAGAGGACTTCAACATCTTTATTTTGGTGCAAAAAAAAAAATTAAAGTGCATGCATACTTTTTCAGAATATGCATACCATGATCTTTTTTGAAGATTCCTTGTATTCTTGATATTGCATTATCTTAACCATGTGAGAAGATAATTGTCTAGAAATAGACAGCTAGATAATTATTTTTAAGAGAGTTTTGTTATCAGGTACATGTGCTCACTGGAAAGACAGAGACAGAAAGTGAGAAATCAAGCACTCCGAGGGGAAGAGGGATAGCCATGCTGCGATCCCTTCTTCTCCATGCACTACTTGGGATTCTGGACACGCACACACATCAGCCTGGTGTGAGTCCCACGCCACTGGTCTGGGACTCAAATCGCAGTTGACTATGTGGGAATCCAGCAATGTAATCATCGCACCATCTGCTGGTCCCACTAGCTAATCTTTTTAATCCTGTGGGTCACAACTAACTAATCTTTTTAATCCAGTTGCAAATTTGTGCCTTTAGAAAAGTTGTGAACATTGTAAATGTAACAAAAAGAGGGATACAGTAGATTATTTCCACCTCCCTGCACCCAATTACATTTACATATGGTCAAGACCTGGTGCGGAATGT